TAATATTGGTAAATTGGTATATTTTTGACTCAGGAATAGATTGATCTCCTATAAAATATGGATGGGCAGAAAACACATGACTCAACTTGCATAGAAACGCTGCCCTACAGCTGCCCCGACCCATACATACTATAAAATATCAATCGTAAACTGATTTTTGATATTTAATTTGAAATAAATATTGTTTAATATGTTTAAGTAAACTATCTTAAAATTGTTTTATATATTTTTGTATAGCACATTAAATAGGTTATGTGTTTATATTTATTAAAACACTTTTAAGTTGGAGTAATTTAATATTAATGTGATTATAATATCACTGTTAACATGATAATTATTTTCCAGTGTCTTAATTTTTATAAGAATTAATAAAGTTTTATCATCAATATTGATACCATTGTGTTGAGTACTGTACACGTATAACAATATATCTGTAATGTAGTGTATTTAATAGGATATAATATAATTAATTAAAATGTTTACTTAATGTGTTTTTCTATTCCGTATAACAGATTCTGTAATTCTAGTCACATGTATAGAAGATATTGTATTTGTATTAAAGATGATTTGTTTATAGAGTAGAAAATGATATAAACCGACATTTCGATACATATTGATTATAATTATAATAATATTAAATCAAATATTGTATTATAATTAGTGGTAAAACAAAGAGTGTGGATATTTTTACTAAATCTGTTTATAACTAGCATAATACCGCGCTTTGAGTTATAATTATTGGTATTATTTTCAACAACAAAAAATTTTCAATAAAATATGGATTTTAATTTTTTAAAAATAAATATTAAGAATTTTTGTCATGTTCATAAAACGTTAGATATATTGCAATATATAAATTAGATATGCATATGTATATTTTATAATGATTTGACAAAATCTAATTTATTTGTATTTTCAAGAATCTTTAAACAAGATTTGTATAACATTTATATACATTTCATAAGAATAAGTTTATATATAGATTCCGATAAAAAGAACATTAAATAATAAGTTGGTTTTGGAGCAAATTCGTAGAAATTGAATCTCATGTTAATTGCCATTGAAATGAATTAAGGTTAAAAATTTTAAATTGAGTTTTAAAAACATAGAATAATTGGTATTATTGATAATAATTGATGTTTCATTAATAACACAATTTAAACAATTATAAAACATTAATTTTGCTATTTTTTGAAAAGAGCTAGTCAAGAAAATCGATTTTATACAATATACCATTGCTTAAAAAATAAACGAAAAAATTAATTTAAAATAAGTTTAGAACTCGGTTTAAAAATCTATATTCAGGTTTAATCATTCAGCCTTTAACCCGATATACCCTTACAATTACTACGGATATCAAGCAATTTTATTATCTGTGGGAAACGCCATTAGAGGTTTGTAGAGCCCCTCAAATCGTGGTGTTATTGTTTTTGGTTATAAAATTCTGCTCATTCTTTAAATAGCAAATTGAAAAATTAATAATGATTTGGCCAATAATTGGTGATAACGATAGTGTTTATATCATTGATTAAAGTTAATTACTTTACGAATAAAATTGATTTGAATTTCATATCAAAAATGCTGGTTTTTTATTTGGTTAAGTAATAATAACTAAAAATTTCTAGTTATTTCATTATGTATAAAGTAGTAACTTTATAGTAACTACTAATTTATGGTAATTAGTTATTACACACAGAATAAGCATGTTTTGATACAATACAATAGTATTTTATATAAATATTCTTATATTAATACAATTTGATTTCCATTAGAATATTATCTACAGTAATATCTGTTATTCAGATATTATAATTTATAATGATAAATATTTATGTAATATTAACTTATTTATAATATATAAATTAAGTATAATTTATGTTGGTAATAACAGAATCTGATTTGCAATTAAATTCTGCCTGTTTTGGAAACATGTCTTTAAACGTAATAATGTTATTATTATATTTACAATATTTATTACTCGCAAATCGTGTTCAAAGGAAATTACAAACAATTTATATAAATATCATGAACTGAAACATTAATTTTGCTGGTTTTGCAAACAATACTTTGTATTTCTCTCTTCCATTCAATGCGATTCTGTGTATAGTATTATATAGAGATTGCGAATACAACTGTCATTTCTATCGTATACCTGACAAAAAGTTATTTACTATTGTATATTACAATACAATAATGTACTCATAAAAAGCCAGAATACAGGTGTACTATATATTTACTACAATCATCTTTAATACATTGCATGAAAGAATTGCATTAAATATAAACAAATATAAAACTAGTGGTTCAGAGAGAAAAGAAAGTGCCATAACGTCAGGCCATCACTCGGACCACACATATTAGGCCACAAAATTACATACAACTTAATTAAATTACATATTACTCTTTGGTTCATGTTTACTATTATATTAAAATGATTGTAAATTATATAAACATAATATTTTTAATACATTTATCAGATGTTGTAATAAAAAGGTCGTAAAAAGTTATTTTAGAGTAAAAATGACCTTTAATTCTATGTTTTATTCATAAGAAATCGATTTATAGATAAAAATCCTAATGTTTTATTTTACTTTTTAAAATTTCTATCATATTTTTATCACCAAAAAAGTATAGTTTATTATGATTTTTATGTTTTATACTGTATTTGGTTGAGTAGAGTGACCAGTATTGTTATTTCTATTGGGAAAGTGTGTTGTTTTCTGTGTTATGGGAGAAATATCAGTCGGAGGTCTACCCCTATGGAACTGATCAGCGATTACTGTACTGTATGTGAGCTTCAATTTATTTACATTTATTATAATAACGTAGTATTGAATAAAATGGTTGAAATCTTTAGACATTACTCTTAATATTTGCAACAATTGTGACCATAAAATAAGATCAGGTTTTAGAAAACATATTACTTTGATCTTTAAAAGCACGTCTGGTCTGAGCTGTTGTTTATAAAAAAAATGAGATGATGGTCAATCATGACCAGAATAATGTCGAGTTAATAAATTATTTGAATTATTTTTAAACATGATACATTTCTAAACTCTATTACTATAATATGTGGTATATGCTATACATAGTGTGTTCATCATTCGACTATATTTCTAATCTAATTTTGACTTCATTTCAAATAATGCTTTTCTCAACACTTTATGTCAATTTGCAATTTTCAGGCGAAATAAATCCAATTTTTGTTAAATATTATATTTTAGATTATGTCTCAAATATACTGTACTTTATATTACAAATCAAATGTTAAGAAATATTATTAGAAATAATGAGGTTTTTGGAGGTTTAGAGAAAATGAATTAATTTGCGGAAAAGAAAGTGATAGAAATATAGTGTGTATTAACTGAGAATAAATGTATTAAAATAGTATTAATGATATACAGAGAGTGAGTCCGGGGTTTTGAGATAGACTGGAGTCACACCAAAAGGCAATTGAAAGCACATATAAAAAACAATAAGAGAAAGAATGGTCTTAATTGGCAATCATTTGCGCCACTAATGAGCCCTTTCTTTAACCAATAGCTCCTCACAGTCCGCAACGAAAGAAACTTTCGCTTCGTATGAAAAGTTTATCGCTGGACAGTCCAGAGTCGACAGAGCATGTCCTCAATCGCAAACATCAAGTCCCTCATCATTTGCCTCAATACAATCAATGTATGCCAACGCTTACCATAATTCATTATTTTTCATCACTATTTTGCTTATTCTTTCAAACAGTTATCATATATTTATGATTAACTTGAAATTTATTTGTATTTCTGTAATAGTGTTACAAAAATCAATAGTTTTGAGAATTTATGTCACGATTTGGTTAGGAATTCTGCACACTTGGGTTTATTTGCTCGAAGGGGTGAATGGGTGTTGTGTTTAGGGAGTAATAGTACACGAGGTAATGATCACTAAATGAAAGAGTCCATATTTTCAGCGATATTTAAATTTTATGTTTAGTGTTAATAATAAATTAAATCTAAATTTTATCATGATTTGACTGCAGAGTATAAGTCATGTAATAGTTTTACGTCAATATGCATGAAATGAATTGATTTCCATGAATGCAATTGTCATGAAATGCTATGAAGAATGAGCTTTAGATCTAATGGTTAGACTAATTATTGAATTAATTGCAACATTTTTCGGTATTGTTATGAATTAACGATAGTTTAATGCAATAGAATAGTAGAGAATAACTGTAAAATACATTTGCAAATAATTATTCGCTAATAATTTCTTGTGTCAAACAATAATTCATTCATTTTTTTGTCAAATCAGAAATCATTTTTATTTAATGAGTTCTTTATTGTAAGCCATATATCAAAAATTTTTGTGGCAATTAATTAAAGCCTAGAACTCATTCAATTAGAAGATTGTTTTATCGATCGATTATTTTGTGGTTTACCTCAAAACCTAAGCTATTTTTCAAAAAACAATATTAAGCAATGATTTTGTTTCGACTAATATTATATTTGTATACAACGGGAGTAACAGTTATATCATGAGCTCGAATACAATTGCTCGAAAGACATGAGCTAGAAAATTATTACAATAATTTATTACGGTAAAAAAATTACTAATTAATCATGGTAATTCAATTTGTTTTTAATTTTATTTTTTATTTTATTATGTACTAAAATAGATATAGTAATAAATATACAAAACATCTTATTATAAATTTTATAAATACTGGTTATAATAAATTGTTTTACTTTAAGTATATTTTTCAAGCTCATGATATACTCCCGTTTACAACATATAAATAAATATTTTAATATTTTACAATTATAATTAGATCTCATTTGAAGTACATAATGGTTGATAGAGTAGGACTAATTATTAACATTAAAGCAATTAATTATCAAAATATTTTTCTTTTTGTACAAAATGTTAGCATAAAATAGAGAATATTAGTAGTGTTTATGTGCGACAAGAAAATTGCAATTATAATGTTGTATATTATAATTTGGTTTCCTTTTGTGTATATCAGTTAATATAATATGAATGAATTGCATAATTGTTTTGAAGCCCCACAAAGTCCTGTTCATTCGCGACGATTCCTATTCGGTAAACAGAATCGGATGTGTTCTGTAGATCTTCCCGACACTAATGAAAAGTCCAGCGCATCTCCGTCTCCCTGTCCATCACCGGTACGTGTCATGTGTTGTGTGTTATGTGTTATGTATTATTCATTAACAAAAACAACATTTTATTGATCAACAAAAAACACATTGAATTATGTGTTAATTAGAAACCACAAAGACTTTTACCAACAAATATATTCGTAGTCCTCTATAACTTCCGGAGCAGACATCAGGACGAACTCGATCTCAAGTAAGTCATCAATCAATCGTTATATTGTGTGAAGTAATCTAAACCTACTTAAAATTATTGCCCATAAATTGCATTTATGAGTACATATTAACTATTCATTAAAAACATATGAGTTAAAGCAACACAAAAAATTTAGGTCATTCTTGCTCTCTATGAATATACGGCACTCGACTCCTGACCTTTACATACATTCCCAAACTCTATATACTCTACAGAATATTCTGTTATATGTTTGCATCAATTTTGCAAACTTTGCACAAATATCACTATATATATCACGTTTCATGTTTTAAATAGATTTAATATCAAATTATTACTACATTTAGAGATGTTTTTACAATTGTTAAATCAATAAACAGTATTAAACCAAAACAAGACTAATATATTTGCAATACAATAATGGAGTGTTTGCTATACTTGTATTCCTGAAACAGAGCGGGATATTCAGTGACAGTAGTGGACACGTCTGACCCGGACTGGTGGCAGGGAAAGTGTTTGGGCAGAAAGGGTTACTTTCCATCCAATTATGTAACCAAACTGTTTCCGGGAGAGAAACCATTGCAAGTCTGCCATACAATACAAGTGAATGACGGAGAGATTGGCATAAAACTACTGCGCGAACAGGTATTGCGACGACAGGCGCCTGTTATTGACGGCCACTTTTGCATTGCATTTGATGTTAATATTGACTTTTATTAGATTGTGATTCAAGTGGTGGAAGAAGTGGACGGCATTATAATGATCCGAACGGGTATTAATGACAAAATAGTACCATGTCCCATTAAGTATCTACAGGACATTTAATTCTACCTTCAATTCAATATTTTTGTTATACTTTATGATTGTCTGAATCGCCTTTTTTGATAAAAAGCCTTACACTTTGAGCTCATTTATACAAATTCTCATCAAATTATATATTATATGATATAAATAAATATAAATTATAAGTAAAGTCATTACAAGAGAACATTTCCAGAGCTTTTATCGATAAATTATCTTAAAATTCTTGTACTTTTTAGTATATATTTGTTTATTTATTTGCGAAAAATAGTTTTAATAAATTTTTATTTTTATCTTAATTCATAAATTATTATATATTAATTTATTTGTTGGAATATTTAGCGCATAATTTCCTTCACTACAAATGCTAAACAAATAAAATCTAATTTTCTGAAATACATTTTATTATTGCATGAAATTTGTTATATAATTAGCCAATAAATAAGTCATAAAACAGATATAAGAAAAGTTCATTTTATGTCTATTAAGTCATTGAATGGGAGAAAATGTTTGCCCACTCCTCGACTCAGCCCAACAACAAAACAATCTCTCTTTTGAACCGATTGTCAATATAATGACATAACATATTATCAGTGGTTCGGCTCTCGGATAATAATGACAGAGAATTTCATACTTTTAGAAAAATGTAGAGATAAAGACATTTTTGAGGCTAAATAAGTGCTTTTTATGCATTCAATATTACTAAAAAAAAGTGAAAGTTGTTTCAGATTTAATGGAAATTCTTTGGAGTGTTTTATTGTGTAAACAAAACGAAAGTTGTTATAATAATTGCAAAATTTCATTTATTATAAGACAATTCAAATGTTTTGTTTGCATGAATGGTAGAAATACTACAGCGAAAGTGGATGTAAAAAATGCTTTGTACTTATTATTGATACAAATATCAAAGATTCAACAAATGTCACAAACAATGCCGACATTACATAAATGCCTGACATTTCAATTTTCAGACTCAATTTGAAATACGCTTTTGAAATATATTTTTGGATTTTTTAGTAACAAAAAATTTTATGTTATAATAGTTGTGCTAATTATTCACAAATTTTGATAGACTTTTGGAATAATATATTTTGCATTTTAACATAATTTTTCGTTTGTATTTTAAAAATTAATATATGAAACAAAACATATTTTCGTTGATATAAATTACTTTATAACTTACAATACATTACAAAGTATTGATTTATTCTAGTGTTAAGAATTTTTAATAAATTAAAAACATTTGTGTGATTAGGTATTAGGGATAAATAATTAAATCAATCAATAAATTGTAAACAGTTTTGATTTTTAATAAACATTAGATCATTATTTATTTCAAGAAATGCATCATTTGGTTTTTAATAGACTTCCAATTATATGCAATGTGTGGTTAATTATATCAATATTTAATTTAACACGTTGAAAATTGATTTGGGAATTTATTGGGCACGTAATTTATTAATCAAATTTAGCCACAAATTTGTATTTGCTGGTTTAATATGAAACCGAATTTATTGATTTACAAAACAATGCAATCCAATTATGTATGTCTTGTGGTTCCCGAGTATCCATTTGGCACAATGACCATGGTACAATGGCCATGGCACATTCTACAAATTCATGCAAACTATTTGCTTCTAAGCTGTTGTGGATTAGAAAATATAGTTATCTGAAGAGTCATTTTAATAAAATATAAAATTAATAAATGTTGTAAAATAAATATTTCTACAAATTAAATATTGAAATAAAGTATTCTTTAAAAATGGCCCAGTATAATTCCTTATTTTAAATATTTTACAATTTTAATATTTTTAATTTAGGCTACTGGTAACAAGTTCGGACACTTTTGTTCCCCATGTTTATACAGTATTACATAATGTATTGTATCAATACGTAGAGTATTGTATATGCGGTGAGTATAAAGTACAGTATAGTAAGTATTTATAGTTGTTTGAGAGATTGATATACAGATAACATAATGTGTGTAAGAAATATGTGATAAACTCACAAAATAATCTTTTTATTTATAATTGAATATAAATTCCTTTAGTTTTCGTGACAAAAGCCTTCATAATATAGAAGATAAGTGACACTAATCTATAGCATAATGTATGGAATAGGAGATAATGTA